TGCATATATTGTGGATCAGCAATGGAGTCATCTGTACTATATGGATCATGTCTGCTTTCATCGTCGCTCTCACACTCTTCATACAAGCGCATCCACTGCTCTCTATATTTATCGTCCATTTTGACTACCGATGTCCGAAGATGTACCCCCCCCCTCTTAAAAAAATCTACTGCACTTATTATTTGGACATCTAACCTCCTAATATACGCAGAATTGACGTGATATACAGCAAAATGAAGTTAGAGCACTATATGTAGTTGACGGCAAGTGCCGTCACTGTCCCAATAGGCACACTGACTAGTACGGCTTATAGAGTCAGTGCCTCATTCGGCACACACTAGCCACATAGAGTGTCCGCCAACGTGTTAATAGTGAAAGAGATTGTATTTACAAACGCAACTTTGCCGTTTGGAAGATTGGTGTATGCTAAACAGGTTACATTTGAATATTGCTAAATGCAAGGTAGTTACTTTATCCCGAAAGCTACGTAAAATATAATATGCATACAGTATTGGGGGAATTGAGGTCACTCGAGTTGATACTGTTCGTGATTTGGGTGTTATGTTTGACACTAGGCTTAGTTTTGACTATCATATAGATAATATTGTGAATAATGCTAATAGGGCCTTAGGTTTTCTCATCAGAAACTGTAAGCTAATCAATGATTTTTATAATATGGAATCCCTACTATAACTGTTGTATAAACAGGATAGATTATGTTCAAAAAAAGTTAATTAAATATCTAGCTTTTAAGTGCGATAGAGTCTACCCTCAACGTGGATCGGACTATCAAATTCTGTTAGACAGATTTAAAATGACGTCTTTGAATGTGAGATGGAAGTACAGTTCTGTTATTTTTGTGTTTAAACTCTTGCATGGAACTATAGTTTCTTCGAAATTGTTATCACAACTACAGTTTTTAACGCAAAGATCCGTTTCAAGATATAATGTTACTTTCCTTTGCAGTCGTGCTAACACAAATTTGATTTTGAAATCACCTGAAAGGGTTATGCGTTTGAATTATAATAGTATTTGTAAGTTTTGTGACATATTATTATGTTCTATTTCGGAGCTGAAATGTGTTTTGCGGGAGCGCCTTAGATAGTTTTATAAGTTAAGCTTCTGTAATATTTCTGATTTAAGATTTTGGCCCATAAATGGAATATTATCTGTTGGGCAATAAAAGCTATAAATATATAAATAATATTCGGACCTCGGTTCGCAAGTTTTCTGTTGCTCAAACGTCTCTCCATCACACAAGTCCCTGTTTCTCACTTATGTCGGTTTGTCAGTCCGTGTCTGATGTATATCAATGCGTCATAAGTACTGCATTAAACTACTTGACGAAATAATCAGAGAAACTTCATAGATGGAGTAATACAAATTTAGAGTTAGACGAAATTTAGTAAACAAACAGTGAAGTCATCACTTCGCTAAAGCGGAACGTACTGCTAATATTAAATGTTGCAAAAAAATATAAATATTTCTCGGGTAGCAGTTATTTCGAATTATGAGCACATTATTCATCGGAATTTTATCATCTAATTTTCCCGTTGTTACCGGGATCAGAAGCTTATTAATGATAGTGACTAGTGACTAATACTAAAAACGTTAAATTTACAACCCCTAGCCCCTATAACTCCCAAGTTTCTACCACTACAACTTTTTTTCTGAAAATGATCAGGAGCCTCTGAGACGTCAAGAAACAAAGTTTAAGCGATTTTTTAGAGATTCTGAAACTCTTCCATCCTTAGCATAGTTGTAACCTTGCATGAAAATTTCATCAAAATCCGAGAGGTACGAGTACTTCTGAAGTTATGGGCTATTACGAAATTAGCAGACAGACCTACGGAAGTGAGTGACAAGGTTTTTCATTTTCGAAATTTTCCGCGATTACAAGACTAAAAAAGGTAATTAAGGCTTTCAAGTCAAGAAACTCGTAAAATTGGAGTAAGGGGGATAACTCGCTTAACCTTTTCCAACAATATTGCTACTATTACTAATTGTCTGATACAATCGAAAATACGCTAACTGACAGGCCAGCGTGTACGAATTTAAATGTAGGTTAATATTCAATGTAGCCTTAATCAGTATCATATTGGTCAATACAAACAATTTACAAATTGCTTCGATGGAAATTTAACTTGTCTGGTTTGTGTATTAATTTACATGCAGGTTATTAGTATTACTATAAATTGTCTGTGGCAGACGAGGTTCGAATATCCGACGAAATCTATTTTACGGAGATGTAACCGAATATTCTTAGTAACAAAGTGCTTACTCCCTACAAGGTCTAAATACAGGTCCGAACGCAGTTGTTCTGCAGAAAATACTTACGAAAATAAGATTGTTCTTCTTGTGATATCTGACATCCACATCACGACAAGTAATATCACCCTTTCTGTCGGTATGTCTGTCTATTCCTTGGCCCATCTATAACTCGGTGAGCACCGCTTGGACTTTGACGAAATTATGTGCCAAGGATAAACAGCTGTGTAGGGTTTGAAAACGATCCAGTAGCGACGGAGGTATGAGCCAAAAAAAGGCGTAAAAATAAGTATCGCTTGAACTTTGTTTTTTGAACAGCTTGTCAGATATCGTAGTCACACACATTTTCCAATTTACTTTCCATTTTGAGAACTAAAGTTAGGGTTTTACATAGGTTCAGAAATAAAATACCACGGTAACAAACAAATAACGTAATAACATAATTATGTTTGAGGTGTGGAAACTTGGTTTACCTCAAATGCCGCTTGAGCAAAGTTATTGTTTGGCATAAGAAATTTGTGAGGCGTCTCAGAAAACGCGCTCCCGCCCGCTGCGAGTCTGAGCGTACTCTAATCTAGCCGGCGCAGAGGTAGACGCGTCCGGCATTTTGGCCTTCAGTTCCTGCCTACATTGATCTGAGTTCTATTTGGAATTGCATTTTTTGGTCAGACTTACCCCGAAGAGCGAGTTATAAATGGAAGCCTCAGAATACTCCCGAGTTCTTTGTTTAAATGTGAATATCTGCCCGCTTGCGCGCCCCCCTCCCCCTTCTTTGAGCCTGGAGGAGTGAGTTTTGCCACTGCAGTTAAAGAGCAACCCACATTTGCTGCACAGAGGCCAAGAGCGCATCCCTGCGCACGATAATTTCAAATAAAGCGGCCGCTACCTCAGGGTCCACCTTAGGTAGCGTGGACCTACCCTCGAACATTACACTGAGATCTCTCTTCATCGAGGTGATTCGCCATCTATTGAAACAGAATCCATGGGCTTTATGACATCACAATCCAAGGCGCCCTGCTGTTCGGGTGCCACCTATGCAGAATGTAACGCTAAAGTAATATTCATACTCAGCCGTGACGTGACAGTGCTGTGACCTGCACGTGATCCGCCCGGGGAAACTGAAAACATTATTTTCGGAATTTGGATGAACTGATTCACACTAGACCGGCACAAGGAAGTGACCGTGTTCTCAGTGTCCTCGACGACGCCGTACCGTTATCATTGCATTGTTTTGGAACGATATTTTTCGATTTTCACGGCCGTGTTTTTTGTAATTCCGTGAATATTTTGATATAATTGGTCAAAAACATGCATCATGAAAAACTAATTGAATTTGTTCGCGTACCTCCCGTGCCGCAGAACCAGTCAAATTCAAAATACAAGGACTTCCGTTTTCTCCTCGTTTCTTCTTCTTCATCTTTCGACGGTCGAACGCGGAGGTACCACCCAGCGGATCTCGTAGGCGGGGCCAGAATGTGTGCATGTTGCATGCACTTGTGTTCCCTCGTCTGTGTTTCGTCCCCCTTTTTCCCCGTGTTTCCCCATATAGCACCACGGTACCCCATGGGTGTCTAGGCATAAGGCCTTCGTGGTAGTTGGAGTATAAAAAAAATCCAGAATTAATGCAATAATTGCAAGTTCCTTCTCTGAAAATTTTGCCATCTTGACCTCACGTGAACACAACTGAACTGTCAGAGCACGGAGAAAAATACTGACCGGTGTGAATTGAAAACACTGTGATGTCACGTCAGCGAGAATCACTGGCACGTCACGGCACTGTCACGTCATGGCTGAGTCTGGATAATCCTTAAGCGGGCATGATGGTACCTAGTCGCCGTTGGTACTGGAAATTAGTAGTTTGGTGGTTTCCTAACATGTTCCTGTTTCCTAATGTAGCGCTAGCCTACCATAGATGTAAATACCTAATTTATATCTGTTATTAATGAAAAATGGTACTTCGGCGGATTCGTAACCTGTCATGTGCATACTTACAGTCCTGTTCCATGGCTATCACAAACCAGGTGGAATTTGCTATGACAACCAAAATGTAACTTTACCTGTTAATAAGGAAAAAGATACCGTGGCGGTTTCCTAACTTGTCATGTTCATAGATAGTTACAGTTCTGTTCCATTGTTATCACAAACCAGGTCTAATTTGCTATTACAAGCAAATGAGAAGAGATTGTCGAAAATACTTTGCCACTACGCTTCACACAACGCTTTCAGTGTTGTAATTTATCGTAGGATCTTACCCATCACAAGTTACCATCATAAGGAACGGAGTCCAATGTTTCAACGTTATCTCAAATACCTTTGTTCGTCCTTGGTATGGAGTTGGCTCTCACAGGCCACGTCGAGGCAGCTATCCCAAGCAACATAGTCCGCTGTCGGAGCGTTATCTCAAATGTCGTGTCAGGCAGTCTGCGACGCCGATGACGCATCTATACCAACATTCACCTAACTTTATTTCATAAACTTGCACCTAAAATAGATTGATTAGTAGAAAATTACCTGTTGGTGACGCATCTTCAGAAAAAGAGGCTGGCACTCCACTTTCTGACTCTGCATCTATGGCAGTTGGTCATGCACGTATAAGGCTACGGTCAGACTGCATCCGTGTTTGACCAATTCTTACACTGGCGCACGCGGACGACCCTATTGGCCGACCTACTCTGATAAACTTGTGGTCATACTGCACGTATTTCGGCCGATCTTTCAATTTCCAATCCAAAATGGACGAAGACGAACTACTGTTGTTTAAAACCTCATTATTACATATATTACTTAAGGACGGCGAGAAAAGTGAATGGGTGAATTCCATTTTTCAAGAGAGAGAAGAGCATGGCGAGTTTCACACGTTATTTCCAAGGCTGCTGGAGCAAGAAAATAAATGTTTCGAATACTTCAGTATGCAAATTGACACGTTCTGGTACATACTAAATGGAATTAGGCCGTACATAGAAAAACAAAGTAATTTTAGAAAATGTATTTCTCCAGAAGAACGACTATCGGCAACATTAAGGTAAGTACAAACATTTGTATTTTTTAACTATAAACTATAGGCAACTCTAATTATTATGTCAAAAACTAAACCAGTCAAATTCAACTATTACACAGTATAAGGAAATTCAGTCAGACATTGTGATACTCTGGACTGAAGGTTTCTACATATGTGGCTAGAGAATTTGGTTTGGTTTGTGCTGCGCTTGGTGATGGAGTTGAACACTGTGGGCTGTAATTGTAAGAATGCGATGAAGTAGCTGAATTGGGACGTTCGTTTGATGATGGATTTGAACATTGTGGGCTACAATTGTAAGAATATAATGAATTAACTGAATTGGGACGTTCCTCTTCCGCTTCCGCCTCATTCATCAAAACTTGCTGTAGGCGCATTCTGGTTGCCAGCTTCTCTTTTTTCGGGATATCACGAAGAGGGTAGTAGACTCATAAAGAAATGGTAGTCGTCATCCTTGTTCAAATCTTCAGATGTATTGCTACGTTCATACCTTTCTTCCATTTGCTCAACCTTTCACTGCTCCAGTAAAACAAGTTTTGCTATGGCATCCGGTATAGCAATTTTTCGTTTTGTTGTCATGAGAGGTTTTTTGAACGACTTCACACTGGGACCACGAAACGGGTCTGTTTGAACAGTATCTACGAGGGTTTCTTATTCTTGTGTTTCAACAGCACTGTTGCTGATCGCACAAACAGGATCAATGGTGTTGTTAGATGCCCTTGCTACGTCTTCTTCTTCTTCTTCATCATTTAGGATATTAGCTAGCTCTGGAGTTTGGCTTAACACGGAAGGGATATTTGTCTTCATTCATCGAGAAGAAAACGCGCCGATTAGGAATGAAAGTTGCTTGTAGTATTTCCGCGAAGAGATTTGAGTATCACCGAGAGCTGCACTACCTGTAGGCGCCTTCGGAATTTTTGCATGTTCTCTGCGAAACTTATCTCTCAAGTTTTGTCATTTTCCCTTTGGTCACTTCACCTGAAATAAAAGAATACCCCGTAAAATTCATAACTTTCATTTGGAGTGAACTTTGTATTTACGAAATTTGTTTTCTTTACAGATTTATATCTACGGGGATGGCTTTTAGATCTATGGCTTTTTCCTATCGGATTGCACACAACACTATTGCAGGAATAATTTATGAGACCTGTGATGCCATTTGGGAGTGTTTTACTGAGAAACATATGCCTTTTCCTACAGCAGATTTGCTTGAAAAGAGTGCAAAAGACTATGAGCAGTTATGGAACTTCCCAAACTGTGTTGCCAGTATCGATGGCAAACATATGCGCATTAAATGCCCGAAAAAAACTGGCTCGAAACACTTCAATTATAGAGGATTCTTCTCTGTGGTCCTTCAAGCAAAAGTTGATGCGCAATATGAATTTATAAGTGTGGATGCGGGAGCCTATGGTAGGCAAAGTGACAGTGGTGTGTTTTCAGAATCTAATCTGTTCCAACATATAGAAACAGGATCTTTTCCTTTCCCACAACCAAGACAGATAACCGGAACTACCATGACGCTACCTTACGTCATACTTGGTGACCAAGGATATCCTCTAAAAGAGTATTTAATGCGCCCTTATCCAACAGGTGGAGCTTCCTCGTGAAATTGAAATTTATAACTATAGGCTTAGTCGAGCCAGACGAACTGTAGAATGTGCATTTGGCATACTTGTTTCAAAATGGAGATGCTTCAAGACAGAGTTCCAAGTTAAACCTCATCATGTTGACAAATTGGTCATGACTACTTGCTTATTGCACAACATTCTCACAGATATAGAGGGAATCAATGAAGGTACATTGCAAAAAATCAACTCAACCAATACTGCAAAAGATGCAAGATCGACAAGCAGGGAACCAAGATGCTTCAATAAAGCAGGAAGAGATGCTTACTATATTCGCGACCAATTTAAAACATATTTCAACACAGTAGGGGCGACAGATTTTCAGGACAATGAAATAAGGACACTAAAATAAATAAAATTACTAAAATACTTACTTGTGCTGTTCAATTCCTCTGCTATTTCCCGCCAAAGCTTTTTTCCTACGTCCCTATTGTGGTAGCTTTTACTGCCCACATCCCACAATGGTTTTCGGTCATAAACCAAGGAAATCAATTTTTCTGTGTCTACCATATTTCGTGATTACTGTATAAACTTGAAGACTGCAACACAAATACTGGCGTATACGGCCGGAAAAAAACAAAATAATTTGTTTTCCACCGTCAGTCGGCCGAACAAGTCCGTGCACGTCAGTGCTGGACGGCGCAACTGTGACCGTCTCCAATTAAGTTTGAAGCATTTGTTTTTTTCTGGCGTTATCGACCGTATACGCCAATGGAAAAATCGGTCAAACACGGATGCAGTCTGACCGTAGCCTAACCCGCTGCTCCGCGATGAAAGGAGCCCTGAATGTAACCTTCCGTCGGTGTCCCGCCGACAATACACATCATAATTATCGGCCCACCTTCGCTCTAGTTGTCTAATATTTGTGTTCAGCGATTGCTCGCATGAGGAGCTGTTCCTTTCTCGTTTCTTGTGTTTGGACACCTCAACACTAAAAACGTAAAAAGCGGTGCGCGAACTCGTAAGTCGGTGTTTACTGCGTGGCACAAGAACAAGGAATGAAAGTTTCTAGGCCCGAGAGGCGGAAGTTGGGAGGCCGCGGTGAGCCGCAAAACATGCATCATGAAACACTAATTGAATTTGTTCGCGTACCTCCCGTGCTGCAGAACCAGTCAAATTCAAAATACAAGGACTTCCGTTTTCTCCTCGTTTCTTCTTCTTCATCTTTCGACGGTCGAACGCGGAGGTACCACCCAGCGGATCTCGTAGGCGGGGCCAGAATGTGTGCATGTTGCATGCACTTGTGTTCCCTCGTCTGTGTTTCGTCCCCCTTTTTCCCCGTGTTTCCCCATATAGCACCACGGTACCTCATGGGTGTCTAGGCATAAGGCCTTCGTGGTAGTTGGAGTATAAAAAAAATCCAGAATTAATGCAATAATTGCAAGTTCCTTCTCTGAAAATTTTACCATCTTGACCTCACGTGAACACAACTGAACTGTCAGAGCACGGAGAAAAATACTGACCGGTGTGAATTGAAAACACTGTGATGTCACGTCAGCGAGAATCACTGGCACGTCACGGCACTGTCACGTCATGGCTGAGTCTGGATAAACCTTAAGCGGGCATGATGGTACCTAGTCGCCGTTATTACTGGAAATTAGTAGTTTGGTGGTTTCCTAACATGTTCCTGTTTCCTAATGTAGCGCTAGCCTACCATAGATGTAAATACCTAATTTATATCTGTTATTAATGAAAAATGGTACTTCGGCGGATTCGTAACCTGTCATGTGCATACTTACAGTCCTGTTCCATGGCTATCACAAACCAGGTGGAATTTGCTATGACAACCAAAATGTAACTTTACCTGTTAATAAGGAAAAAGATACCGTGGCGGTTTCCTAACCTGTCATGTTCATAGATAGTTACAGTTCTGTTCCATGGTTATCACAAACCAGGTCTAATTTGCTATTACAAGCAAATGAGAAGAGATTGTTGAAAATAATTTGCCACTACGCTCCACACAACGCTTTCAGTGTTGTAATTTGTCGTAGGATCTTACCCATCACAAGTTACCATCACAAGGAACGGAGTCCAATGTTTCAACGTTATCTCAAATACCTTTGTTCGTCCTTGGTATGGAGTTGGCTCTCACAGGCCACGTCGAGGCAGCTATCCCAAGCAACATAGTCCGCTGTCGGAGCGTTATCTCAAATGTCGTGTCAGGTAGTCTGCGACGCCGATGACGCATCCATACCAACATTCACCTAACTTTATTTCATAAACTTGCACCTAAAATAGATTGATTAGTCGAAAATTACCTGTTGGTGACGCATCTTCAGAAAAAGAGGCTGGCACTCTACTTTCTGACTCTGCATCTATGGCAGTTGGTCATGCACGTATAAGGCTACGGTCAGACTGCATCCGTGTTTGACCAATTCTTACACTGGCGCACGCGGACGACCCTATCGGCCGACCTACTCTGATAAACTTACGGTCATACTGCACGTATTTCGGCCGATCTTTCAGTTTCCAATCCAAAATGGACGAAGACGAACTACTGTTGTTTAAAACCTCATTATTACATATACTTCTTAAGGACGGCGAGAAAAGTGAATGGGTGAATTCCATTTTTCAAGAGAGAGAAGAGCATGGCGAATTTCACACGTAATTTCCAAGGCTGCTGGAGCAAGAGAATAAATGTTTCGAATACTTCAGTATGCAAATTGACACGTTCTGGTACATACTAAATGGAATTAGGCCGTACATAGAAAAACAAAGTAATTTTAGAAAATGTATTTCTCCAGAAGAACGACTATCGGCAACATTAAGGTAAGTACAAACATTTGTATTTTTTAACTATAAACTATAGGCAACTCTAATTATTATGTCAAAAAATAAACCAGTCAAATTCAACTATTACACAATATAAGGAAATTCAGTCACACATTGTGATACTCTGGACTGAAGGTTTCTACATATGTGGCTAGAGAATTTGGTTTGGTTTGTGCTGCGTTTGGTGATGGAGTTGAACACTGTGGGCTGTAACTGTAAGAATGCGATGAAGTAGCTGAGTTGGGACGTTCGTTTGGTGATGGATTTGAACATTGTGGGCTACAATTGTAAGAATATAATGAATTAACTGAGTTGGGACGTTCCTCTTCTGCCTCCGCCTCATTCATCAAAACTTGCTGTAGGCGCATTCTGGTTGCCAGCTTCTTTTTTTTCGGGATATCACGAAGATGTGGTAATAGACTCATAAGAAAATGGTAGTCGTCATCCTTGTTCAAATCTTCAGATGTATTGCTACGTTCATACCTTTCCTCCAGTTGCTCAACCTTTCGCTGCTCCAGTAAAACAAGTTTTGCTATGGCATCCGGTATAGCAATTTTTCGTTTTGTTGTCATGAGAGGTTTTTTGAACGACTTCACACTGGGACCACGAAACGGGTCTGTTTGAACAGTATCTACGAGGGTTTCTGATTCTTGTGTTTCAACAGCACTGTTGCTGATCGCACAAATAGGATCAATGGTGTTGTTAGATGCCCTTGCTACGTCTTCTTCTTCTTCTTCTTCATTTAGGATATTAGCTAGCTCTGAAGTTTGGCTTAACACGGAAGGGATATTTGTCTTAATTCTTCGAGAAGAAAACGTGCCGATTAGGAATGAAAGTGGCTTGTAGTATTTCCGCGAAGAGATTTGAGTAACACCAAGAGCTGCACTACCTGTAGGCGCCTTCGGAATTTTTGGATGTTCTCTGCGAAACTTATCTCTCAAGTTTTGTCATTTCCCTTTGGTCACTTCACCTGAAATAAAAGAATACCCCGTAAAATTCATAACTTTCATTTGGAGTGAACTTTGTATTTACGAAATTTGTTTTCTTTACAGATTTATATCTACGGGGGTGGCTTTTAGATCTTTGGCTTTTTCCTATCGGATTGCACACAACACTATTGCAGGAATAATTTATGAGACCTGTGATGCCATTTGGGAGTGTTTTACTGAGAAACATATGCCTTTTCCTACAGCAGATTTGCTTGAAAAGAGTGCAAAAGACTATGAGCAGTTATGTAACTTCCCAAACTGTGTTGCCAGTATCGATGGCAAACATATGCGCATTAAATGCCCGAAAAAAACTGGCTCGAAACACTTCAATTATAGAGGATTCTTCTCTGTGGTCCTTCAAGCAAAAGTTGATGCGCAATATGAATTTCTAAGTGTGGATGCGGGAGCCTATGGTAGGCAAAGTGAAAGTGGTGTGTTTTCAGAATCTAATCTGTTCCAACATATAGAAACAGGATCTTTTCCTTTCCCACAACCAAGACAGATAACCGGAACTACCATGACGCTACCTTACGTCATACTTGGTGACCAAGGATATCCTCTAAAAGAGTATTTAATGCGCCCTTATCCAACAGGAGGAGCTTCCTCGTGAAATTGAAATTTATAACTATAGGCTTCGTCGAGCCAGACGAACTGTAGAATGTGCATTTGGCATACTTGTTTCAAAATGGAGATGCTTCAAGACAGAGTTCCAAGTTGAACCTCATCATGTTGACAAATTGGTCATGACTACTTGCTTATTGCACAACATTCTCACAGATATAGAGGGAATCAATGAAGGTACATTGCAAAAAATCAACTCAACCAATACTGCAAAAGATGCAAGATCGACAAGCAGGGAACCAAGATGCTTCAATAAAGCAGGAAGAGATGCTTACTACATTCGCGACCAATTTAAAACATATTTCAACACAGTAGGGGCGACAGATTTTCAGGACAATGAAATAGACGCATATGTTCACTAAAATAAATAAAATTAATAAAATACTTACTTGTGCTGTTCAATTCCTCTGCTATTTCCCGCCAAAGCTTTTTTCCTACGTCCCTATTGTGGTAGCTTTTACTGCCCACATCCCACAATGGTTTTCGGTCATAAACCAAGGAAATCAATTTTTCTGTATCTACCATATTTCGTGATTACTGTATAAACTTGAAGACTGCAACACAAATACTGGCGTATACGGCCGGAAAAAACAAAATAATTTGTTTTCCACCGTCAGTCGGCCGAACAAGTCCGTGCACGTCAGTGCTGGACGGCGCAACTGTGACCGTCTCCAATTAAGTTTGGAGCATTTGTTTTTTTCTGGCGTTATCGACCGTATACGCCAATGGAAAAATCGGTGAAACACGGATGCAGTCTGACCGTAGCCTAACCCGCTGCTCCGCGATGAAAGGAGCCCTGAATGTAACGTTCCGTCGGTGTCCCGCCGACAATACACATCATAATTATCGGCCCACCTTCGCTCTATAGTTGGACCAGCGAAAGATTGCAAGCCGAAAGAATGCGGACAAAAAATTGCGAAGTTGTCAGATGTTCTACATAAAATGCGGTCCATACATATTAACATATTTAAGATATAGAATTGTTCCGCTGAATTTGGCAATGTAGCTGGAAAACCCAGGCCGCAGGTAAACATCCGGTCGCTGATTGGTCCAAAACTCTTATCTTATCTGAAACTAGAATAACGTGCCGATGGCACGGTCATTTATAAACCTACTCCCATAGGCGTAGGCAGTTGGCAAATACTTTGAAAATATAATTTACTGTTTAGTGGTGATAATGGAATTCAAGCATGGGAAAGTTATTCACAGCCAGGCAAGGGAAATAATAGCAAACGTGATACGTGCTTGCGATGCAGAAGCGGCTAACAATACTTTCGTTTATCCACTGGTAGCTAGAAATGCAAGGGCGGCATATTATACGGGTGTTAGTGAACGAACTATAAGTAAAATTAGAAAAGAAGATAAAGACAGGCAAAATGCAACCTCCACACAGCCTTTAGCTTCTCCCGGAAAAAAGAGATCACGCCCTTCTGTGATCCAAAAAATTGATGGAGTCGATTTTTCCATTATTCGGAGAATGATAGAAAAATTTTACTGTGATTTTAAAGTGGTACCTACTTGTAGTAAACTTCTAATCAAACTGAAGGAAGAAATGGAATTTCCATTTGGTAAAGAATCGTTGAGGCTGCTTTTAAAAGCAAAAGGATTTTACTGGCGTAAATGCCACAACAAAAGGAAATTACTAATGGAAAGACCCAGTATTTTACATTGGCGATACAAGTATCTTAGGTCTATTAAAAAGTTCCGGGAAGAAGGAAGGCATATTATTTATTTGGACGAAACTTGGGTTGATAATGACCTCACTTTCAAGAAATGCTGGCAAAGCGAAGAAATTATGGGTGTCCTGAGCAATATAAGTTCTACAGGTAATAAAGTTTCTTTCACCTCGATTTTGCTTATTATACATTTTTCTCAATTTTGGAATATTCTTAATAAGTGCTCATTTAATTTGTCTAATTGAATACATAATCCCTTGCAAGTATTTTTTTCTCAAAAATATGTTTTTTATACATAGTGATTCAAAAAGGTGTTGGCAAACTTAAAATAACACTAAAATGAGGCTATTTATTCATTTCCAGGACGACTTATAATTGTTCATGCGGGTTCGCAAGATGGTTTTGTTCCTGGAGCCTGTCTCATTTTCAAGGCTGGCTGTGCCACTGGTGATTATCACGGTCAAATGAACCAAGAAAATTTCACGAAGTGGCTTACTGAAAAACTATTTCCTAACATTCCTCCTAATAGTATTATAATAATGGATAATGCACCTTACCATTCAGCTTTGGAAGACAAGCCTCCAACTAGATCTTCTCTAAAAAGAGACATCATCACGTGGTTGAGCAAAAAAGGTATAGAGCATGATCCTAATGCTAAAAAAATGGAGCTTTATGAAATAGCTTGTCTACATAGGCCACCATCTGATGAGAAAAATTATAAGATAGATAATTTAATAAGAAGTTTCGGACACACCCCACTTCGAACGCCACCCTATATGTGTCAGTTTAATCCCATAGAGATGATTTGGGCACAAGTAAAATTTTTCATTAGAAGCCATAATACAAGCGGCGAATTTACTATAAAAAAACTAGATGAAATTTCTAATAAGGCCATCGCTTCAGTAAGTGCCAGTGACTGGCAAAAGGTTATTGGACATGTTATAAAAATTGAAGATGAATATTGGGAAAAAGACAGTCTCATTCAAGAAATACAGGAAGAAATAATAATCAACATAGGAGGTGAAAGTGATAGCAATGACAGTTCCTCAGACAGTGATCATGACTCTAATCAGGATTGAAACTATACTAGATTGGCTACCTTTTAGAATTTTTAGATATTCATTTATTATACTATTGGTTTGTGGCTTTTAGTATCTCAGTAGAAAGTCTAATTCTATGTGTTGTTTATGGGTTATTTCATCAAGAAATTACTTTTTGTTTTCCTATATTTTTCTATTCAGTCAGATATTTTTGACTTGTTGTATTCTATTTTAGAAGAATGCATAATTTGTTTTGCTGTTCAATCATAATGCGTACATAGGAATATTACTTGTTGCCTAAAAAATATATTTATTTTGTTCTCAATATTCAGTGTTTGTGTATATTTATTTCTTATAATGTATGTTTGGTATCACGTCATTATGAATCGCAAAAAAATATTAATACTACCAGTTGTAATAAAATATAAATTCAATTAATAATTCAAGTCTCTCCGATCTCCGCCTATGACTCCATATAAAATCGTCTAATGGTAAGGTTTTTTCATCGCATTTCCCCCTTTCGTCCCTAGCAATCTTTGGCTGGTCGATCAATAGTTGTCTAATATTTGTGTTCAGCGATTGCTCGCATGAGGAGCTGTTCCTTTCTCGTTTCTTGTGTTTGGACACCTCAACACTAAAAACGTAAAAAGCGGTGCGCGAACTCGTAAGTCGGTGTTTACTGCGTGGCACAAGAACAAGGAATGGAAGTTTCTAGGCCCGAGAGGCGGAAGTTGGGAGGCCGCGGTGAGCCGCTTTTCTTCGCTGCGTGCGTGTTCTATTTACGAGACGAAACAGGAACGTAATAATAATATTTATTTAAATTTAAACACTGGTGATTCGATAGAAAGGAATACAAGTATAAGGCATCAAACTTTTATACCTTAAAAAACCTAAAGATGTAATGAAAACACATTCGTTAACATAACAGCATAGACGAATTCACCACACTTCGTTGGGCTACATAAATTTGCAACATATACATTTTATTTACGTAAGTTGAAACATTGGAAGAAACAAGAAAATTATATTCAGTCTGTTAGAAGTATGTTGATGAAGTATGTTGATTTAACATCTCATGTGCAGTTGCATTGCTTATTTTTTTTTAATAAGAGTTCATATGGTGTTAGGTATAACAGAAATGCGAGGGAAATTCTAGCTAAAGCTGTCCACTTACGTACGGATATCGGGGAAGACCGAACAGTTGAAAGTAGAAATCACTAATCACTCGCAGTTTTTTCCATCGAGTCGTACCTAACGCATGTTTAGTTGCGTAGATAGGTACGAATCTATCGAACCCCCGAAAAACGGCTACTACATTATAGCCAAACCATTTGAATTCTGCTCCGTAACCTAAACCTGAAACTATGGTTAACCTGATTCGCAAATGGCTCCAGGATTCGGTCTCATCACTGGAGAAGTGCTAAAAGGATTGCCGGAAAAAGCTATTCTGATGTTGCCGTGTCTATCAATGCAATAATTCGATTGAAGCATACACGTATACTGAATATTTGGAGAGTCAAAGAAGTAACCGTGACTCCGAACCCAGGAAAGATCCACATCGCTAAATGTCCCTTGGTATGTTCGTAATTTGGACATTCATCGTAATTTAGACATCCCTCTGCTTATCGACGAGATCAAAAAAGTACCGGCCAGGCACGAAGAAAAGCTGGATAAACACCCCAGTGCAAAAGCTTTTTAGCTGCTGGACAACTACAATGCCGTTAGACGATTGAAAAGTTCCATGCCGTATGAACTTGTGTATTCTTTTGTTCCTAGTGAGTAAAGGACATCAACGGATTGCCTTGTTATGAGTATGAATATGAGTATTATAGTTAATCAAATTGATCGGTTTTAATAAATCAGGCATCAAAGCCACTCTAATAATATTTTAAATAAACAAATATGGCAGTTTGACAAATATTCTCGCAGGCATTGGTATCAGTCTGAATCTCAGAGCTACAGAACAGCGTTGAAAATCTTAAGGTTACTGTGAAATCTCACCACCACTTCAAAATACTGCTTAAGAGCTTCAAGATACCTGAAGGCTTTAAACTGCCATCAGATCCCTATTTAAAAGATTGTTGTTTTGAAAGGAAGGAAACCATAACTAAATATAGCATACTCTGACTGAACAATATATAGCTATAGACATGACAGATCTGTAGGTAGTAGTTGCACTCCAACAGATTTGTGGGATAACATATATACGAGTATTATGTTATTACCACATTATGTATAATTATTATTAGCATGTATACTTGGATTTCTTATTCGGGCAATTTGTTTTTTACTGTGTTCAGTGAATATAATTGTAGTATGT